ATATATATATGTGTGTGTGTGTGTGTGTGTGTGTGTGTGTGTGTGTGTGAGTGTGTGTGTGTGTGTGTATGTGTGAGTGTGTGTGAGTGTGTGTGTGTGTAAAGTTACCTAGATACATTAACAGGTTTCACAGTCAGCTTCAGGTCACAAGAACATTTGTCATCAGAGCCACAGTCCTTTACAAAAGGGATCTGAGCAAATTTTGACAGTTTAAAATCTTTGAAACAATATATGTTGGACTGATGCTCTTAATTAAATTCAGAGGGAATCTTACAAAAAATTCCCAAGCTTTGGGCTGAAATGCATCCAGGGCAGGGCCGGTGTCTGGATTTTGTGGACTGATGTCAACTCGCAAAGCAACTGGACTAACAAAATCAGGAGTCTCCTATTAAACAGTAAAACCAATGATGTGAAATGATCGTTCAAGCACTTTGAAATTAAATAAAGCTGAAGTACAGTGAGTATTGTTATTCTGAGCAGGCGTCTGTGGCAAATGGCTAAAACTCACCTGCACATAGACATTATGATCTACACAGCTTTCTTCGTCAGAGACGCTGAACGATTTCTGGATAAGACGCTCTGAGTTGTCAAACTGGGCTCTTGAAGTGGCTCTAGATGACTGCAAGTCAGCGTCAAGTGTCAAGTTGTACTTGATATCTGAAGAAAAGTGCATTTCCATTCACTTCCATGGAGATTTTTGGAGAAATCAGCATACTGTATATGAGATACAAAACACATGAGAGATGGCCTTACCTACTTTACCCACTAATACTGTGGGTCTAAATTTTGACCTGAAACAGACTTTGGCATCAACACACGACACCATCCTTCCTCCAAACATGCAAGGTTTACTCAGAATGCTGATCTTCTCAGGGCTGAAGGAGACCGTCGCTGTGACAGCTGCAACTCCCCTTGACCTGAGATCACAAATACTGTATGAAACATCACAGTTTCAGTATGATTTTATAGATCTTAAACAACTAGACCGAGATCCTCACCAGAGCTGCACTGCCTTCCCAGCCGCTCCGACTGAAATATCAGGGATTGAGTCATCGTTCATATCGCCTTGACTATCTAAAGAGCGTCCAAAGAACCGAAGCACCGGGTCCAGTTTGGATCCAAGTATTTTCTGCAGAAAATAACAAGACAGAAAAATAAGACTTGTTTAGTATGAAGATCAATGAGAAACAAGATTCTATGATTGAAAAAGAAGGAAAAAAGAGGAAATGTTAATATATCTTAGCTCTTACAAATGTACTCTTTGTATTCATATACAGTATGGTTTGAAAAACATTTACACCATTTTCAAGAAAATCTATTATTTAATGACTCTTTTTTTAAACAAATAATTCGTAAATTAATAATGAATTATTTCATATTTTTGTGGAGCTGCACCACATGACATTTTACAACCTGAGATAACCTTGCCTTGTCATAAAAGACATTTAAAAAAAAAAAGACCTCTCCCTGATATCATTTTATGCTTTTTTTCCTGTATGTAACTTGCACCGTCTTTCATTTAGTGGACAAATGTTTTTCAAATATTAATAAGAAAAATATCATTTATTTTATTTCAGACAGTTGCCAAGTCAAACTTTTCTCATTTTCTTTTAATTTAACCTGATGTACTAAAATAACTAATACTGCAGATAAAAATGATACTTTAACTTCAATTAAAATAAAACTAATCTAAAACTAAAAAATATAGAAATAAAAACTATATATATATATATATATAATATTATTAGTGCATTCTACCTGTGAGCTCTGCTTTCTGATGGTTTTTCTGTCTCCATTGTAGATGTAAACGGCACCTTGGCCATTGCCTTCCAGCGGAGCACCAACCACCACGTCACTGAAGCCGTCCAGGTTTAGATCGGGGACGACAGTGATGGCCGTCCCAAACCGAGCATTCTCCAACATGGAGGGTCCCTCTAACCTGCCCTGGTTGCTTAAGATGCCCTGAGAACAATATGAGGCAAGATAGTCAGGTTTTTTAGGACCTGCTTTGAGTGAAGATTTGTTTTTTTGAACAGTAAACCTGTTTCACCTTGGTAATGGTGAAGAGGTGGACTCTTCCGGTTTCAGATTTCTCCTCGCTCATGTACATCGGAGCTCCGACCAGCAGCAGATCTGTCACACTGTCAGTGTCCACATCAACAGGACAGAGAACGCTGCCAAAATAAGAGCCGATCTGCAAACCACAGAACACAATGATCTATGACAGGACTTCACTGTCTAATGAAACTAAAGCTGATTACAGGTCACAGAGAGACGAGTTTACCTGATCTCCTCTCTGTGAATCTATGATGACGGGCTGATTCTGGCTGTTGATACTGTAAACTATGACCTGTCCTCTATGAACGGCACGAGGAGCACCGGCCACATAAAACTCAGACGAGCCGTCCATCACAGACGTGACAGAGTATCCTGAACACATGACAGGGGAAAATGTTATGCATTTGTTTGATCAAAAATACTGTAAAAAGCAGTAATATTGTGAAATATTATTATAATTTAAAACAACTGTTTACTATTTGAATATATTTAAAATTTTAATTTATTTCTGTAATCAAAGCTGAATTTTCAGCATCATTACTCCAGTCTTCAGTGTCACACGATCCTTCAGAAATCATTCAGATATGCTGATTTGCTGCTCAAGAAACATTTATGATCATCAATGTGGAAAACAGTTGTGCTGCTTCATACTTTTGTGAAACTTTCCATTTTTTTCAGGATTCTTTGATGAATAAAAAAGTTCAAAAGAACAGCATTTACTTGAAATGATTAAATAATATTTTTTGATCGATGTAACGCATCCTTGCTGAGTATAAGTATTAATTTATTTTAAAATAAAATCTTCCCGACCCCAAACGTTTGAACTGTAGCAGAGATGTGAATATAACGTTACATGACCTCTATATTTGCTTTTTATAATGAAAATTACTTTACAGATAATTTTTCTGGCTGGCTCACCAAGTAATGAGCTGTGGTTTCTGTCATCCAAGATTTTCTCAAAAGCATTTTTGAGGAAAATGTGTGATTTCCCAGCTGTTTGATGGACGACGGTCCCGCTCCATCCATACGCTCCAACAGCACCCAGCATGATCACATCCTGTGGGATAAAATGCCACCCCGTCATGCCTTCATTTCTTCTGAATCAGTATGGTACATTACAAATTAGTTTGACTACTCAATCAGATATGTTGAACGATTATTTGCACCTTTTTATTGGTCTGGTGTGCGCTGAATCCTACTTGGGACATCTCCAGTTGAAACTCCTGACCTTGACTGGTGCCTCAAATCAAACAAGACCAAATCGTCAAATGCTTATCATAACTTAAAGCTGTATTTTAGGTTAAAAAAAGTGACCTGTTGTCACTGGATGAACAAATGCATTATTCATTTGGCATACGTGAATGCAAGATTTACCCTCAATGTTAAAGATTCTGTCCCCCAGAGTTCCTGCGATATTGATTAGCGCTTTCTCTGATGACACATTAAACATGTAGTTCTCTGTTGGAGTGCTAGCGATCAATTCAATCTCCTCGATGAATTTTTGAATATTGGCACTTTGTTTGAGAATCTGTGTAATTTCATAGATGACAGTAATACGTCAAATAAAAAAATAATAAATGTATATATACAAATTTGTCTTGCTGTCCAGTAAAAATATCTAAACAAACTTAAAATAAAACAAAATACATTTAATTCAAGACATTCTAAAAATTTCAACCCAAAAAACGATTAAAGCAATAAGCCCAAAGAAGTCGTAGTTTACAGTGAATTTATAACAGCTAAGGGGCGTTGTTAGGCACGACGCCAAGCGTATGTGGACTGATTCCATATACGTAGTAAGGTTTCGCAGAATAAAACAGAGTAAATAAAGTGTAATGATATAAATAAAAACAGTATTCTTCCACCAATCAATGTAGTTCCTCAGAAACAGTTGTGGTTCCAACAAAGTGGTTGTCGAGCAACACACAAAGTAAACAAAGGTGTATGTTTGTAGAGTAATTTACAACAGCTTCGAACGCGGCTCAACCAATCAGAATCAAGGACCGGAACTATCCGTTTTATAAAAAAAATTTAAAACTGTAAAACTGGGTACCTTTTTTGATTTTCTGCAATGAATCTCATTACTCATTTTATTTCACAATATGCTCTCATATTTATATATAATACTATAGATGAAAATATCATCAACATTAAAGTTTCTGTTTTATTAATGTAATGCTTTTTTTTCATGCTGATCTCTCTCTCACTCACAGCAATGCCAAAGCGAATGATGCCATCTCTGTTGCATCTCTCAATGACTTCTTGACCTTTATGACCATCAGCAGATTCTCCATCTGTTACCACAACCAACACCTTAGTGGCACCGGGACGGCCACCATTTTCCAGTAAGAAAGCTGTTTGCCTGAAACACAAACAATCACAAAATGTTTTCCCCCCCACATAAAATAAAATAAAATAAAATAAAATAAAATAAAATAAAATAAAATAAAATAAAATAAAATAAAATAAAATAAAATAAAATAAAATAAAATAAAATAAAATAAAATAAAATAAAATAAAATAAAATAAAATAAAATAAAATAAAATAAAATAAAATAAAATAAAATAAAATAAAATAAAATAAAATAAAATAAAATAAAATAAAATAAAATAAAATAAAATAAAATAAAATAAAATAAAACACAAACAATCACTAAATTTTTTTCCCCTCACATAAAATAAAATAAAATAAAATAAAATAAAATAAAATAAAATAAAATAAAATAAAAGAAAAATAAAAGAAAAGAAAAGAAAAGAAAAGAAAAGAAAAGAGTTTGTAGGGGATAGGATACCTGACATTGTCAAGTGCTGCAAAAGTGTTGGTTTCGGTCCCAGTTTTTTGCTCAATATTAGAAGCTGCTGAAAGAACCTTTTCTTTATTTTGGTCAGAACTAAAATGATAAAGAAAGGACAAATCCTTGGAATACTGCATAATGCTGACCTAAAAATAAACAAAAATCCAAATTAAGTCATATAATATAAATCAAAGAAATAAACTGGATCAGAATAAGCTGAATTACAGTACTTACTCGAGTTTTATCTGGTCCAATATCAAGATTTTCCAAAAGCTTTATGAGAAAGTTTCTAACATCAGGCCATGGATATATACTGTTTGATCCGTCCAAAACAATGGCAACATCCATGGGCCCGCCACAAGCTGAATGAGAAATTCAGATCAAGAATGACTAACTTACTCAATTAATTGCTTTATCAATTTCGGACAATACAAAATAAGATTTACTTTGAACGGCAGGAGAGAAGACCGACTGAAGCGTAAACTGTGGGCTCACGTCAGCACAGACTCCTGGGTAAAAGTACTGACTGCCACAGCGCTGAGCCCACAGAGGACCACACGTCTGAAACACAAACATTTATACTATGAACTTTCTACAGTTTAATCCATGGCAGAGTCTCTTGAGTATGAAAATGACTGAATGAATGCTTTTACTGTAAAAAGGAATAAGCACCCTGATAGTGACACAATGCTACTACAACATACCATCAATCTGTTAGGTTCAGCTATTGGAGTGAGAGTCAGGCCCAGACTCATGTTGACGTTGATGCTCTGCACACCATCTATGCTGACAGAGTCTGTGAAGACACAGACATATTTACATGACAAGTAGGAAAAATCTAAATTTTGTTAATTAAATTTTAATTCATTTTAAAGGACCCCCTTACAAAAAAGTACTATGGTGTCAGTACAACAATAGTGCTGATATCATATTCATAAACTACCATGCATTTGTACTTCATGGTAGCCCATTGTTTCATGTCCAATATCCTTTTTATAACTGCATTATAATTTCAAATAAAGAGAAATTTACCTGCAAGGTTTAGTTTCTGGCAGATGACACTGGAAGCACTGATGTCACACTTATAGAGACTTCCTTTTCTATTCTGAGGGTATCCGCTCCAGGGAGAACCCACCAGCAGCCTGAGCAGAAATAACCATTTCGCTATGCAGTCAAAGAAATTATGCAAACAAACTTTGCATACTAATTATTTTTGCCTGATGTGCTTATGATATTAAAGGAATAATTCAACCAGAAATGAAAATGAGCTGAAAATCTATCTTCAGGCCATCCAAGATGTAGATGAGTTTGTTTCTTCATCAGAACAGATTTCAGAACAGAAGAAACAAACTCATCTACATATTGGATGGCCTGAAGGTGACATATTTTCAGCAAATTTTCATTTTTGGGTGAACTACTCCTTAAAGATTGGTAGAGTGCTGTGACTCAGAGCATCAGTCCCATACTTCCAGAAATAGATTTCAGATCCACAACGTATTTTTATATATTTTGAACATCTTTTAGAAAAAATGTCTGGTGTGTGACATATCTTACCATTTTCCTTGATTATTGCTTAACTGTTGTACAGTGTAGCCAAACTCTTCTACTGCAAGACCTGTGAAGATTTTAGCTCCTGCAGTCCCCACATTAAAACCCCGAGTGTGAGCAATACAGAAACCTGCGGGAAAAGTTAGACATTCTCAGCTGTGATTTTAGATCTTTTCACCTATTTTGTTTGTTTATATATATATATAGACATTTGACATAGGTAAGCCTTTCCTTTGGCCAGCAGTATGTCGGTATATTTCAAACAATACTGAAAAGTGGAAGTGAGAACCCAACTCTTTTTAGACTTTACACCAAACACACCTTCATAAAGTTTGGGACTTATAGGCACAGATTTGTCTGCATCAACAAAGATTTATCATGTACAAAAGTATATTTCTTTTTCAATAGTATGGGTTTCAAGAGTAAGTCAATCAATCAATCAATCAATCAATCAATCAATGTATCTTGTTTACCAAATTTGTTTGATTGTTAGGCGGTAACAGGAGACTGTCTTAATGAGTCACTGAATTACTTCAATCAATCAATCAATCAATCAATCAATCAATCAATCAATGTATCTTGTTTACCAAATTTGTTTGATTGTTAGGCGGTAACAGGAGACTGTCTTAATGAGACACTGAATTACTTATTAATTAATAATCTCAGACTATTGCTTCAGACCCACTTCTTCACTTCTTTGGGTTCCTTTGTAACAATTTACCTTACAATAAAAAATTAACAATTTTGGCTATGCTCACATTTCCAGCAGTAAATCATGCTGTATAATAAATACACACAGAATACACACAGTAAAGAAACACATCAAATGTATTTGGCTTAGCGTTACACTGTTACACTGTTACACCAGTAGTTGGAGACAGTAACTGTCTTAATGAGTGAGTCACTGAATTATTCTCTCAAAGGATTGTTCAAATACATTTCAGAAGAAGAATTAAAACACACCATGACTGTTTGCTCAGAGACATGCAAAGTTTCTGCTTTGGCTTCCTTTTGAACAATTTTTGTTGTAATTATGTGTATGCGCTGTGCTATGCTCATTTCCTGTAGTGCATCAGTGCTGTATAAATAAAACACACACACACACACACACACACACACACACACACACACACAAATGTCTCTTGAAGTGTCTAAATCTATCTATCTATCTATCTATCTATCTATCTATCTATCTATCTATCTATCTATCTATCTTTGTTTTCCAGTAAAATATATTTGAACATACTTAAAAATAGATACATATACCAAAACTGGTTAAATAAATGATCTTAACCTTATTTTTTTGCTTTTAAAATTGCCAAATAGGAATTTTTCAATTTAGTTAGATTTATGCTTAAAACAATTTTAAAAAATGTAATGCGGTAGGAAAATAATTAAATAAACTTATTTCAAGATATAGTGTATTGTCTGAAAGTTCAACTGTACACTTCGTGCAATTTAAATTTGACATTTTATCTTGTTTTTACGGAGGTTACGATCTTTTTGACTGACAGTAAGTACAGTATATAAAACATTTTCATTGTTAGATCATTACCACGAAATCTTCATTTGTTACAACTTGCGAGAACGTAAACATGTCCGTCCACCCAAATGTAAAAAAGTTATGAAAATCACAAAATTCACAAATTGTAAACCTCATTTGGTAAGCAAAACAAGTACTCACTCTGCAAAAAAATCAGTAGTATCACAACTTTTTCCATTTTGTCCATTGCTGGAGAAATTGTTAAGGTGAAAGAGCAGACAGTGATGTCTCCAGTCTTGCTGTCATAATGAAACAACCTGAACTATCCTGTGGCTCAGGGTAAAAATGACTGTGAGGATATGATGTCATAGCAGCACTGTGATCAGACTTGTCTCTTTCTTTCATGTTGTTATTAGCCGACAATATGCAAACAACTGACCAAATAAGTGAAATATAAGAATACATATTCTCCAAATAAAGAAACTTGTGGCTGTCTTTACAGCTGTGAGTTCATTTGGTTTTAATGGGAGTCACTTTAGTTTTTTTAATTTCATGCTTCGTAAGAATACAAATAGGAAAGGGAAGACGGGAAAGATAAAAAAGAGCAGATTATAAATTATGGGAAAGCCAGTAATGGACACAATTTAAACATGAAATCATGTTCGAAGACTGAGTCGTAATAGATTTACAGCCTGTTGAGACGCAGTGTGCGCAGGTGCGCCTCAACCGCGCTGCTATTTTCGTGCGTTACTATTGGCTGAACTCATACTCATCTCACACACACACACACACACACACACACACACAATGATTAACTCCTGAAGGATTTTATATCTCAGACTGGGAAGTATAGGCTAATTGAGGAGTTTCCATTTTCCAAACAGGAAAGGATTTAAGCAATAGCCTATCCCAGACAACTTGCTCAATTTCTGCTGAATTCTGAAGTAATTTTATTTTAAGACTCATAATGTATCATCTGGCCAATAAAACATGTTTTTAAAACATGTGGTGTTTCAGGTGTTATTTAGGAATGAAGAAATATGGATGATTTGGTTTGTTTTACAAAGTGATCAATTCATCCATCTATCCTTATTTTTAAGGTAAGAAGGGGCATGTGCGAGGCCGTAATTCTGCTTAATTTAGTTATATTCCAAACTGTTATTTGTTATCATTTTATTTTATTATCATCTCCATAAACACACTAGTTTGTAGCGCAAATCGTTTTACTGTTTACTTTGGTATTCAGCGACAAAGCTTCGCATTTAAAGAAAATAGCTTACTGTAGCATTACAAAATAAGATGGATACGCATGGTTGGAAAATGGTCATTGGCTGAACACTGATGTGGTCAAGAAACACTTACCAGTAATGAACTTTAGCTAGACTTCAGCAATTGCTTGCAGTCGTCAAATTAGTTTGATTGTTACACTCTTAAAAATAAAGGTGCTTCACGATGCCACAGAAGAACCTTTTTGTCTAAATGGTTCCAGAAAGAACCTTTAACATCTGAAGAACCTTTCTGTTTGACAAAAGGTTTTTTGTGGCGAAATAAGGTTCTTCAGATTACAAAAAGGCAAGAAAGAGATGGTTCTTTAAAGAACCTTTGACTGAATGGTTCTTTGTGGAACCAAAAATGGTTCTTCTATGGCATCGCTTGAAGAACCTTTTGAAGCACCTTTATTTTTAAGAGTGTAGGCGGCAACAGGAGACTGTCTTAATGAGTCATTGAATTACTTATTAATTAATAATCTCAGACTATTGCTTCAGACCCACTTCTTCACTTCCTTTGGAACTATTTACCTTACAATAAAACATTTACAATTTTGGCTATGCTCACATTTCCAGCAGTAAATCATGCTGTATAATAAATACACACAGTAAAGAAACACTTAGGCTACGTTTATAAAATTCAGCTAGACTTACACAACAATTGGTTCCAGTCATCAAATGTATTTGGCTTAGCGTTACACTGTTACACTGTTACACCAGTAGTTGGAGACAGTAACTGTCTTAATGAGTGAGTCACTGAATTATTCTCTCAAAGGATTGTTCAAATACATTTAAGAAGAAGAATTAAAACACACCATGACTGTTTGCTCAGAGACATGCAAAGTTTCTGCTTTGGCTTCCTTTTGAACAATTTTTGTTGTAATTATGTGTATGCGCTGTGCTATGCTCATTTCCTGTAGTACATCAGTGCTGTATAAATAAAACACACACACACACACACACACACACACAGTCTGGTTGACTATCCTTGTAGGGACTCCCCATAGGCGTAATGGTTTTTATACAGTACAAACTGTATTTTCTACCACCCTACACCTAAACCTACCCCTTACAGAAAACTTTCTGCATTTTTACAATCACAAAAAAACTCATTCTGTATGATTTGTAAGCTTCTGTACCCATGGGGACCTCAAGTCCTCATGAGTTGGTGTGTATTCAGGTTTAAGTCCCCACCATTGTAGAAAAACCTGTACACACACACACAAATGTCTCTTGAAGTGTCTAAATGACAAAATAAGCATTTATTTTTTTCTGCGCACATTTTCTTGACAATATGTGCAAGGCTTTTTAACTCTGTGCTGAAAAGTATGTACAATATGACAAACCAGTGCATTACATAGAAACTTCACAGCAGAGTATCTGACAAGTGCCCAAGGCCAGCGGTCTCCATCTGAGAGTGAGGCTTGATTATCCTACATGTTTTCACCAACTTATTATTTTTTTAAATGTATGTGTTTGAAACATGAATACTGTTGATTGTGATAATTTATTCAATAGAATCATGGTCGGCATCTCATTCAATACAAAAATAAAAAAGTGACTGGATGATACAAAAATATTGACAGCGGATGTTAAAGTTACAGTGCTAAATATGAAATTAAGTCTGAACACCTTTTGAACCCACACAGCAATACATTTTTTTTCATGACAACTTAAAACAAAAAAAAAGTATACATTTTTTTTAAAATCACAATTATATAATAAGACGTATACTACACATAATAAGGCAGTACCACATGAATACACCGTTCACACCTTTGCATGCATTTTTCTTGTTTTACTAAAAAAACTCAACTGATCTGTTTTTACCAATGAATGAATGTTCAATTAAGCCACCAATAAAACAAAACAAAAAATAATTTAATATTTATCACTCATATTCTAAAGCAAAAAAAAAGTGTTGGGAAAAACTCTGTCTGAATATCTTCAATATTCACACTTTTGGGGGTTAAGCTGAAGTTCTAACATGCAACATTTAGCATTTTTTTGCAAAAACAGGAACATTAAAAACCAAATATTTTGAAACTGATGCCAGTCAATGCCATCTTGCAAACAGTTGACTTAACATGTAAATTGTGGTGGTTTGGGTTGCATAAAAATTTGCAATGCAAGTTTCACATTTTTCACATGGCCTTTATGGTTTATGGTTAATGAAGAGAAAGGAGAAGGAAAGAACTGGTCTAAAAAGGAAAGAACCCTGAAAAGTACAATAACTGCAGAACCAGAAACAATGTAGCTAACATTGTTTCTGCTTTAGCATAAATCATTGACTTAATGCATGATTAATTACAAATGTCTCTGTGGTGATCTCAAAACATTTCTCTGTTTGTTTGATCTTCCCAGCAACAGCAACTCTGTCAGGGTGCTGGGTAGGGGATGGAGCGAGGACTCAGTACTGCAGAGAATGGGCTTTTATTGATAATAAAAATAAACAAAACCGCAACAAAAACTACCCCGTGGGGGAAAAACAGACTGGCAAGGCAAGGCAAGACAGCTACATAACAGGCAACACAAGACAGGAAAAATCTAAACACTGGGACAAAGCCGTCACTGGGACCGCTGCAGCCTCTCCGGCCGTCACTGGGGGCGCTGCAGCCTCTTCAGGCATTTCTAGGGGTGTTGCAGCAATATCAGGCACCTCTGGGGGTGTTGCGGCTTCTCTGGCTCCCTCCGGGGGTGCTGCAGCAAGTTCCACCTCTACAGTCATGGGACCTGATGAGGCAGGCCCGTTCCTCCTCCTCCGTTGGCGGGTCATAGGAGGACTGGGACTAGGGGGTTTGTGAGGAGAATGGGAGGAGGGCCAAGCTCTGCCTCACTGATGTTGAGTCCCTCCGCTACAAACAGGAACTGCTGCGCAAAATCCTTCACACTGGCCCTCGGATGAGCGGAGGGGCAGGGAGATGGGAACAGGAAGATGCCCATAGTTCTGCGGAGTCCTCTAGTGGTCAGTTCGTACTGTCAGGGTTCTGGGTAGGGGATGGAGCGAGGACTCAGTACTGCAGAGAATGGGCTTTTATTGACGCACGACTGCAAACACAAGGAGCATAAATGGAGAGCAAATGAGGAGGGTAATGAGGGAGCACATGTGGGGCAAATTAACTAATAATCAGGTAACAAGATGGGAGGGGGCAAGACAATTGCACATGGCACACCGAATCAAAGACAAAAGCCATGTGCTCACACAAAACAAAACACAAGCACATGGCCAGCAAAACAAATCGCAAGCCATGTGCTAGAACAAAAGACACGAACACGCAGCTAATGAGAAAACTCATAAGCCGCGTGTTCACACAAGACAACAAGAAAAGCACGCGGCTGAACACAAACACAAAACACGTGGACAGAAGAGCGCACGGCCGAGCGAACTCGAGACCGCACGCTCCCACAACTGACAGAACATGGAGCGCGAGTGTCCGGACCCCGACACGAAACCGAAACTCAAGACATGAGTGCCGGGATCTGAACACCACGCTCCAACATGAAACAGTACACGCAGACGAGAGCGCACGACTCGAGCACACTCGAAGCCGCACGCTCACATGAAAACAATGACATGACGCGAGTGTCAGGGCTCTGTCACAAAACTATGAATTACACTAGACCGAAGTGACAGAACCCTGACAAACTCAACCAATGGTGTGGGTTTAGGGCGGGGCTATCGACCAATAAGAGAGCATTTGGTAATCCTGTTTGGATTTTGCAGCTGCTATAGTGGTGCATGAAATAAACATTTTAGCTTTAACATTTCTATTTCAGTCAAGTGATTGTTTTTCTAATATTTACATAAAAAAATTAACAAGATAAGTCAATGACAGTCCAATTTTATGATTCTACACATTCACTGCAACCCATCTGGAATACCTGTGAAATGTGGGCATAAAGACGCTTTCTACCTCAGAAAACAAGACAGGTGTCACACTCAATACAGATGACGCAATCACTTTGATAAAGCCATTAATTTATCATTAATGTGATATTGCAAACATAACTTTATATACACTTTA